TGCGTGGTGGGGGCGGTCGGCTCGGAGTCCCGCGTAGGAGAAGGTGGTGGTGGAGGACGCGTCGTGGCTGCTGCCGTGCCGGCAGTCTCCATCACGGAGCCTAGTGAATCGGCACTAAATAATTCGCGCAGTGGGTCCTCGATGGGCGTGCGTGCACCGTCCTGCCACTGATTGCAGCAATATCCGGAGATGCCACGCCCGAGGAGGCCCCTGCCGCCCACTACCGCTCCTGCTCCCCCTCCCCAACCTACCACCGTTCAGGAGGAGGAAGGAGGAGCTAGAGAAGAAGCCGCGGCTCCAGAAGACCGTCCCGAAGATTCTCCTTCTGCAGAGACTGCTGCCGCCACCCGGAGGTCGCCGTCATCAAGACAGCCGAGGCGTGGCCGTGGTGCACCACGGCGCGCGCCGTGGAAATAACCGCAGTGGTGCTCTGTTGGCCTTCCTTGACAATTCGCGGGTTTAAAATACGTTTGAAGCGTTTCTTGAAGCGCCCTTGACTGTCTGCCGTGTAGGAGGGGCTGCCTATCTGCAAGGGGCCTGAGGTGCGCGCGCGCTAAATGGGGTGGAACAAGTTTATTGTGGTAGGCGCCTCTGACACTGGAGCTGGTGTTGCGTATGATTTAGACCTATTTTTTGATTTTTATATAAATTTGTATTTACCAAGTATGTGGCTGCTTACATTTTCAAAGAAGACACGAGTCTTGAATAGCGAAATAAACCTCTGTTGGTCAAGGGATGTGTTACTCTTTATTACAATCACAAAATGAAACCATAAAAGTTCAGCATTTCACATAAAAAAAAGTTCACAATTCACAATCTTGTCTACATTATTTTGTAAAGCTATGACAATAGATCTGTTCTGCAATGCTAAGATCAATCATTTTACTCAGGATATTTACTGATAAAAAAGAATGGAAGGGCTTTTAGCCATTAGATTTATGGGGTTGAGCTTTCATATACAGATCAGAGGATTCTCTTAGGGAAGGGCATGGTGGTGGAGGCTAAAATTTGTCCTTTGGAGGTGTTTAATAGCTTGTCTTAAAGGTCTTTCCAAGAGGAATTCAATAAGCACATTGCTTTTTATGTGACAATAGTTTTGAAAAAGTTATGAGCATGGAAATGATTAATTTGAGAAATTAAAGTCAAACTCATGTAAAACCAGAGCTGAAATAGGATTGATTGATCTGGGACCATCCAGCTCTTTTCCTACAGCTAAAGGCTGTTCATGTGATCGTTTTAAGCAAATAAATTTTAAAATCGGTCCAGAACTTTGGTCTCTAGAACACAAAACATGTATTGAATTTTCAAAAAG